AATCAAATTTGTGTAATGCAAGCTGTGTTTTCTATCATATAAGACTTTTATTAGATCAGGATGTTACTATTCAGAGACGTTATCATAAATGGGTGTTTAAGTTTATTAAACGCTTTTTCTTTGCAACTATTAAGATCATACAACTTGTCACCTTTAAAAGAATTCTGTTGGATTACATTAGCTTGTTTCCCCTACAGTTATCCCGGCCATCTGTTTCTGAAATATACATCATTTTGTAACTGTTCTTTTATAATACCCCTTGATTCAATTTGGTAACCATGTGTTTGGGATTTCTGCTGTAAGGGAGACAGGTAAGTCTTTTAAAGGGATAATTTGTTTTCCTGTTAGAGACCACCTTTGTCAATGAGACATCACAGGATCAGGGTGCGCTCTCGGGTGCTCACTTGGCAGGGCGCGGGTAGGCGGAGAGGTGGGCGGTGACCTCGCCGGGCGCTGCGCGACGGTCGAGAGGATGTGCGAGGGACGGGAGGCCGCCCGCGCTTCTCCTGTGGGTAGAGGCAGTGCAACCTGATGAAGGAAAAAAGTTAGAAGTTGACTTAAACGTGGAAAAGACCGACTTCAGGGAGCTCACCCCAAGGAGAAATCTTTGCCTTCATCCGTACCCCACCATTGTCAGAACTGAGAGGGGAACGAGCGCAAATTAACGAGCCTGCAAATCCACGGCACTGCGCAACTGACCAGTGTTAATGGTCAGTGTTAATGGGCAGTGCGGCCTGAAACTTTCCTTAAGGAGATATGGACGCAGTAAGAAAGTCGACAGCTAGCCGCGCACTCTCGGAGCACCTCCAAGCCAGCAGGCGCACGCACCTCACGCCGCCACGCCACCTCCGGACGCCAGGGGGCGCCCGCGCCGCCGCCTCCCTGCCTTCCGTGCTCGCGCGCTGCCAGGCGCGCGCACGTACGACGCGCGAATCGCGGGAGCCGTGGCCGCGCACGTCGCGCGGCCTGCGCTACGTGGCCGCCGGGCGGCGCAGGTCCTGAGGAGAGGGCGCCATGTGGAAGCTGCTCCCCGCCGGGGACCCGGCTCGAGGTACGGCGGGAGGGGACCCGTCGGGACCCCTTTTTCCCGCAGCCCGCACGGCGGTGGGTTGTCCCCAGAGCGGCGCTTCCTGGCCGATCTGGCCGGCTTCCGGCGCGGCCGCTTTCACTTCCGCCCCGGGAGCCGGCGGCGGGCGCGGGCTGTGGCATGGGGGCCGGGAGCCCCTGTCCTCGGAGCTCTTCCGGGGCGGCGCGGAGATTTGAACCCGGCTGGCCCTGGGACCAGGCCTGGCCTGGCCTGGCCGCAGTCCCGAGCAGTGTTGTTCTTGAGAGGAACCACGTGGCAGCCGCGGAAAGGCTTTCTTAAGTTTTGTTTCAGACCCGTTCCATGATACTGATACAGGGAGAAACACTGATCTCGGCGGGTGACCTCCGAACCATACGGGGATCCTCCAAATGACAGGGAAAAATGATCTCCCGACCGGACCTGCACGAGTTCGTGCTCTCTAAAACCGAAGGATGAATTTGAGGAACAAACTGAGGTTATGAGCAGAGTATGTTTATTGGGAGAAAGAAAGCTCGTGTCCGAGAGAGGGACAGGAGGGGGGCCTGAGCGAGTAGTTCCCCTGGAAGCTGTCTCTTCCAGGACTTTTATAGTGCAGTGAGGCAGGTCTAGGGTTAGGTAAATAGCAGGGGAACTCGCTTAGGTGGATGTAGGGTGGGACAAAACTATGGTCACCCAATGGGATTACAGGCACCATTGCTCTGGTAAAATTAAGTCCAGGACCAAAAGGAGAAGGGAGTCACATAGCAAGAAGGCATGAAGGTAGAACAGGATTTTATGAGGTGGCCATCCAGTAGTACTCGAATTAACGATTTTTAGGTCTCCCTCAGGGTGATGATTAATCTCGGATGCCGATCTTTAGGGAGGTTGGCATTTCTTTGGTCTTTGGTCTTTAGGTCTGGTCCATGTCGGGAGCATCCGTCTCTCCCATAGTTGCAAAATATCTGGACATCTGTGTTATCTGTTCAAGGGCCTGGCCCTGCCTCCCTGCCTAAAATATTTCTATCTAACTCGGCTACCTGAAACAATACCAGTGTACCAGAAGACGTTGTGTTCTCCCTCCGGCTCTCGTTTTGCACTTCTAGCATTAGAAAATGCTTGTCGTGTATTAAATCGGTTTGCCTCTTCCATGGTCATTGTTAGTAGATGGAAAGTTGTTCACTCGTGGCAAGGTCACGACTTCAGAAATTTGTTAAGATTGAAAAGATGAGTTTAAAAAAAGGTGAAACACAATAATAAAGGTATCCCTGTGGCTTGGAACACCGTGTTGGTGAGCAGGTAAAACTGAGTTTCAAGAAATAGCTAGGGTTTTTTGGCCGGCTAAGCCTGCCCTGAGGGCGTGGCTGGTGGGGTGTGTGATGCCAGGGTTCCAACCACAGCCCCCTGCACCTGGCTTTAGACCGCTAAGTTGTCTTGCCAGCCCCCAATGGCCTGAGTTTTGCTCATGCTTTCATGTAATTGTAGTTAGAAAGAAACAAACTAACTTTAGGTGACTTAAGTTAACCAGTTAATTTATTTGAGGAAAAGAAACTTCATGAGTTGTTGTACATCATCACCCTGAATTGTTAGTGGTTCAGAGACCTTCCTTGCACCATCTTGGCCAAGTAATACATACTTAGTGACAAGAAAGTGACATTACAGAAAAAGATTGATTGCTTTCACCTCAGCATTTGCCTAGTTTTCAGGGATAATGTGGTGACATGTTTACTGTATATGGGCATGATATGATCACTGAATCCATTTAATCAGGTTTCGAATACAGTGACTTGACTTGGCAGTAACATTGAATTTATGTTATTTTGGAGTACTAACTCAGTATTTCTTCCCTTCAGAAAAATGATGTAGCTTTCCACCTATTTAGATTGTATCCTAAAGTGAGGCTTTGCTAAAAAATATGTGTTTGATAGGAAGTTGATTAACATAGTGAGAAATATTTTAAGTATTTGGCATACCAATATCATATATATTGTACACATATATAGGTACGTATATATTTCTGTATGCTCAACATGAACTTTTGAAATTTTATATTGTTGCTTTCTCTTAGGAGAACCATACAGACTTCTGACTGGTGTTGAGTATGTTGTGGGAAGGAAGAACTGTGCCATTCTGATTGATGATGATCAGTCCATCAGTCGAAGTCATGCTGTGTTAACAGCTAACATTTCTCTAATTAACTTGGTATGTTTCTAATTTTATTTCTCGGTTCACGGTGAGTTGAAATCATAAAAAAGTATTTCTAAACATATGTGAGAGTTCATAGAACCTTTTATCCAATCAAACTTTAGGTTCCTTATAGTGTTGACAAAATCAAATAACGGATATTTGAGGTCTGGAGGTGTGGCTTTAGTTTTAGTGGTAGAACTTCTGCATAGTGTGTGTAAGACCCTGTGTTTAATCCACAGCACCCATAAAAAAGCAAAACAATGTTAGGTAAGCGACAATGTTGCATGTAGTATTTGGGGTATTTTTTTTATTACTGTTTTTTATTTACTGTTTTTGTATTATACTCGTGTGTGTGCGTGTGTGTGTGTGGTGTGTGTGTGTGTGTGTTGTGTGTGTGTGTATGACTGGCTCAGTGGCCCTGGGGGCGGGGCTGGCACAACATTTGGTGCAAGGGATTAAACCACCGTTTCCTGCATTTTCCTAAGCAGGCCCTTTAGGCCACAGAGCCATCTTGCCGGCCCCTCTTAGACTTTCAGTAGCTTAGAAACCAAGAGCATGTAGTATCTACTTCTGCTTAGTTAGTGACACACTTGCTGTTAGTCGCTTTCACTCACTGTAGTGGATGAACAGCCCAAAGGACAGGAGGTTTATTTTGGCTTATAGTTCAGTGGAGAGCTACTTTGTGGTGTTTGCCTTGGGCCAGTGGCAGCGACATACACCATGGCAGGACCGCTTGGTGAGGAGGTCGCTTACTCATGGTGGCTAAGAAGCAGTAAAAGAGGCAGATGTCCCATTATTCCTTTTTAAGAGCATATTCCTAGTACCTAGCTTCTTTCCTCTGGTGTCCATCTCATAAAGGCTCTACCGTCTACCAGTAGTGTAAGAATCCTTTGGGGAGACTCCGGGTCAGGCCATAGCACATTAGTGAACGGTTAGTGTATATTGATGGTTATACCAACTCTGGAGATTATGTAACACCAAGTGGACAGAGCTATTTTCCATAAAACATACATTTCTGTAGCAGGAATGATATGTTTCATTAGGGAAAATAGCTTTTGCATATGCCACATTGCTCTTTCAAATTTCTTTGAAGTTGTATTATGACTAGTAAAAATATATGAAAACTTCTGCTTATAGTAGTGTTATGAGAAATGTTTATGGTACTAAGAAAAGCCATTTTGAACAGATTGCATATTTGCAAAAGTTAGATTTGTTCAGAGATATACAGGCTTTATGTCTATTTTAGGCATAGACAAGCATTATTCAAATTCCTACACAAAATGTAAATGTTAGGATAAAGCCAGAAACTAACCAAACCTTATTCTTACTGGACCAGTGTTGATGCTGTGACTTTCATGAGGTAAAGAGGGAAAGGGTTTTTTTTTTTTTTTTTTGGGGGGGGGAGAAATTGACATATTATGCCTGAAATGGGCTATATCATAGCAAAAAATTGCCAAATATATGAAATTGAGGGATCAGGAAAATTCCCATTGGCTTATAAAATAAAGTTTATATTTTAAGAGGATTAATCTGGGCTTAAGAAATTTCTTAAAGTAAAGTTTAATTGCTAGTTGATTCTTTCCTGAAGGCAACTAAAAAACAGTTAACTGTTGCCTACTTAACTTTTCTCTATTCAGAAAATTACCAATCTTTTGAAAGCTCATCCCTTGGAAATTACATTATTGAGGGGTAAAAAAAACTACATTGTTTGTTGATTTTTTTTTTTTTGTTTCATCAGCAAACAGATGAAATTTCCACTTTGACAATAAAAGATAATTCTAAGTATGGTACCTTTGTCAATGAGGAAAAAATGCAAACTGGCCTTTCTCGAACTCTGAAGACAGGGGATAGAGTTACCTTTGGAGTGTTTGAAAGTAAATTCAGGTAAGGAATTTTTTTTTTAATGTATTTAGTACAGGGTCTCACTACGCAGATTGGATTTGTAGTGATCCTCCTGTAATCACAAATGCTGGGATTATAGCCTCGAACCACCACACCCAGTCTGAGTTGCTTCTCAGCACACCCTGGGGGTGGCGCCAGCATGGCATGCTTGCGATCAAACCCCAGTCATTTTAGTCTGCTGCGCCATCTGGCTGGCTGAAGAAGTTTTTAAATCAACATTAAAAAGGTTAGCTCTATGTGACACTAGCCAAATTCTAAAAGAAAAGTATATGAATAATGAATTGGAAACAACTCAGTTTTGTTCCTATTTGGTACAGTAGTGGGCTTTTGTGGCCCATGCAGTTGGTTCATTTGTCAGTCATAGGTAGTAATAAGGTTGAGTAAGTGTTTCAGTGAGCCCTGAGAGCCTTCATGGGAGCTCAGTTGCTTGATTCCTCGTAGGTGAAAGTGTAATACTAACTTTGGTCTTTTTTTGTTTCCCTGTTTGTTGGAACTCAAGATTTAAGAAGTGATCATTCTATAGGTTAAGAAGTTTAATAATACATAAAAATATGTGTATTGTGAGTGCAAAAGTTGCCATCTCTTTGATAATAAAACTTTCTGAACCTTACTTTCATTTACAGAGTAGAATATGAGCCTTTGGTTGTGTGCTCCTCTTGTCTAGATGTCACTGGGAAAACTGCTGTAAATCAAGCTATCGTACAGCTGGGAGGACTTACAGTAAACAACTGGACAGAGGAATGTACTCACCTTGTTATGGCATCAGTTAAAGTTACCATCAAAGTAGGTTTCATTTCTTCTTCCATTAAATTCTGTGAACTTTAAGCTTATCTATTATAGACAGACTTAAAAAACTTTTACTTGGAGACTATCAGAACTATTACAGATTTGTGTCTATCTTCTGCCTTTTTTTAAAAGCCCAAATGGCCTTTCAGATAAGTTGTTTATGTAAGATAAGAAGCACATAAGGTTATTTTTAGACTTTAATTAAGCATTTCTAAAAAGGAATTATCCTTTTACCAAGAAGTTTCTTACATAGTTCCTACTTTGTCTAAAAGCAGAGAGACCAAAGATTAACTGCCCCGCATTCTTCAAAGTTAGCATTTTGTATCTCCTGTCAGGCTTTCTCCAATTTCTGTTATTATCTTATGATATGTTCTCATATTTAGTTTTTATTTTATTTAAGTCCTTTATCACAAAAGTGTAAGTTCCTATAGATTAATCTTAATGAACCTTCACAGACTTCACGGAAATGTAAATATGTGCCATCAGAAGATGCTATAAAGCTGATATTATTTTGATATATTTTCAGATTTTGCATCCTCAAATTTATGTCCAAATCTAATTGAAGAATGACATTGGGAGGTGATGCATCTCCTTTTATGCAGGATGATTATAGATGCTTGGAATTCTTTTGGGTTAATATCTATGTGTAAATGATTCTAAAGTCTTTCAGTATTTGATATAAATAGAGAATGTATATCGTATTGACAAGGTGTCATAGAAGAGCTTGATGCTCAGATTGAACCTTGTTAAATTTATACTTTGATGGGATTATCCCTGGAGAAGAGTTTTTTTCCCTATTTATTTTTTTATGTAAGTACATTTTTTTTCACATTCCAGAGATACTTATCACCAGATACAAACTAAAATCAAAATGACTCAAAGAACTGGCTGTTAAAACAAGAGCAATTAATTTGTTGGAACATACAATAGGTTAAAAATTTGAGAAATATTTGAGAAATAGTTAAGAGACTTTTAAAATAAAATCATAATTATATAAGAAATAACAGAAATGATTAATAGAGCTGTATCAATTTAAAAAGCTTCTGCATAGCAAGAAAAGCAATCTGTAAAATAAATAACTAATAGAATGAGAAAAAATTCAGCTATTCCTCTCAAGGTAGACTATTCTTTCAAATATAAAAAGAACTCAAAAATTTAGGCTCCTCTAAAGTAAAAGTCCCATCAAAAAGATGAGCAACTGAAATGAATAAACACCATTAGGGAAAGGACAGGTGTCTGGTAAACACATTAACAGTCTTCAGTGTCTTTATCCATAAGAAAAAACACAAATGGAATCAACCCTAAAATTCTAAAATTTTGTCTTACACTAAAAGGAACAGCTATTGTTAAAAAAAGAAATCAAATAATATCAAATGCTGGTAAGGCTCAGGGGAAAAGGAAACTTATATTGTAGTTAGAAATATAAATTACTTGAAAAGTCAATATAAAGATTCATCACAATAAAATGAAATATTCCATTTGACTCAGCAGTCTCCCTTTGTAGGTGTGTTCCCATTCCCACAAGAGTTAAAGAAGGGCCCAGGGAGATCGCTCAATAGAATAAGCACTTGCCTGGCAAGTTCAGGGTCCTGAGTTCAATCCCTGGTACCACAAAAAAAAAAAAGAGAGTTAAAAAAATCCCACAAGTTCCAATAAGTTGTGCTTGGATTTTCTATAAATTGTAGTTATTATTTAATTTCTTTGTTGTTGTTGTTTTGGGGGGAGGGGCAGCTCAGCTAGCCCTGAGAGCAGAGCTGGCATGGCATGTGGTATCGGAGATCTAACCATGGTCCCCTGCGCCTGCCTAACCTTGCCTAGGCAGGTGCTTTAGACCCCTGAGCTATCTTGCCACCCCTAATTTCTTGTTTAATTTCATCTGTAACCCATTGGTTGCTGAGGAGGGTGTTATTTCATTTCCATGTGTTTATGGGTTTTTATGGTTTCTTTCGTCATTTATTTCTAGTTTCATTGTACTGTGGTCAGATAATATGCATGGGATAATTTCTGTTTTCTTGCATATACTTAAGCATGACCTATGGACTAGTATGTGGTTTATTTTAGAAAACGACTTGTGTGCAGCTGAAAAGAATGTGTATTCACATGTTCTTGCGTGGAACACTATATGTCCACTAAGTCCATCTGTTCAAAGGTCTGGTTCAGTTCTACTACCTTTTTGCTAGTTTTTTGTCTGCTTGACCTATCTTTTGGGGATCAAGGGATGTTAAGGTCTCCTGTTAAGATTATTGTGGCATTGGATATTAGATTTTTCATGTCCCTTAGGATTTGTCTTATATAGTTGGATGCTCCCATGTTTGATGCATACATATTTATGACTGTTGCCTCTTTCTCTTGTATTTTTCTCCTAAGCAGTATGTAGTGGCTTTCTTTATTTTGTTTGATCATTCTTAGTTTGAAGTTCAAATTGTCTACAAGGGCCAGGGAGATAGCTCAGTAGAATAAGTGCTTGCCTGGCAAGCACAAGATCGAGAGTTCAATCCTCAGTACCGCAAAAACCAAACATACAAAGCTAAAGTCTGTGGACAGGATTGCTATACCTACTTTTTTCTGAGGACCTGGAGCATGTAGTATTGTTTTCCATCCTTTGACTTTCAATCTGTGAATTTCTTTGTGAGTTAAGAGTGTTTCTTCTAAACAGCATATTGTTGAATTTTGCTTCCTAATCAACTCTGCCAATTTATTTCTTTTAATTGGTGAATTGTATCCATTGACATTGATGGTTATAACTGAGATGTATTGACTTATGTTTGATATGTTATTATCGTGCTGTTGGTTACCTATTGTTCTATGTTTAATTATTGGCCCTATTTGGTGGATTCTTTCCATTCTCATTCATGGACTTGTGGTCATTTTGATCCCTCTCTAGAATATCTTTTAGTAGTCTTTGTAGGATTGGCTTTGTCATCATGAAATTCTTTAGTTCTTTATCATAGAAGCATTCTAATTCTCCATTATACTTGAAAGGAAGTTTTGCAGGATACATCAATCTGGGTTGGAATTTGTTTTCTTGCAAGACTCGTA